CCCATGTTTGTGTTTGTTTGTGAACTCTCTGAGTCTAATGAGTATTTACTGTAGCCTCTGCATTAAGCTCTTAACACACACTGCGACGAATGTACATAATTACATAACGAAATTTAAAAAAAGTATAATTTAGACAATCATTTCAGCCATATTCCCCAGGTGCTGACAGAAGCACGCAGTGTGTGAGTAAATAAAAATGTGTTGCTAGTCTTCCGCGCGGCACATACTGCCATCAGTTGCGAAACAGCGTCATGATTAACTTTGACTTTCCAGCATCGAGACGAATTCCAAAGAATGTGGTTTGTTGCCAAGAGACAGGCTGATCAAAAGTTGATTTCGATACCACGTTAAAGTCAGTTTAACCACTGATTCAACACCTTCAGGAATTCTGCTCTAGATATGCATTCAAACAGCTTATCTGGAGAAGTGTTTATGGACAGTAGGTGGTGAATATCTTGTGTTGGCCAGTGCAAAAAAAGTCTCCATTGGAGGAGTTAGATGCTGATTTTGAATAAATATATGAAGAGTTCATTGGCAAGAACAGATAATTCCATTGTTGTAGATGCAGAAAACTTATTTTGTTGTTGTTTGCTCCAGATAATATCAATCAAACTGAAGTAGAGTGGATTTGACTCAGCAGAAGTGACAAAAATAGATGGATAACTAGATGAATAAATAACTAGATAAATAGATAACTTAATTTTGATTGATATTGTCTCAGGTAGATGATGGAAAAATGGGTTTTCTTAAGGTTTGTGAGTTATCTGTTCATCATCTCTTCATATAAACAATAAACAAGTGTAACTTTAAATAGGGGCTTGAGCGTGTTTTCTGATGTTGTGTTAGTTATTAAACCGTTATCTGACAGGTTATCTACAATGACAATTATACATTATATGTCATATTCTACTGTATGTCAATAAAATCTAATTACTCTAACATGTACCTGCTGCACGCAACACATTCAAATAAACAGTTCCAACAACCACTTAAGACCAAATCTAGTATAAAAATAGACCATCTACTTCAGACTAAATGTGATATGTGAACCTCAGCAAATACTTCCTAATAACTGACCTGTCCAGTGGCTGCAGTACAAGCATTTGAAGGCATCATGTAGCTGCATTATCTGCTATTTTAGCCACACACACACACACTCTGCAGGCCTGCTGGTGCTTCCAAAAGTTGAGTCATTTATCGTGACCCAGTGGGATTACTTAAAACCAGCATGTGGTCTTATGAATACTCCAACTATGAAAGGACAGGCTGCTGCATGTTCTTTAGCTGAGAAGCTGACATAGACTCAACATGAACTGCCACCGCAAACGAAACGTTAAGATAATCTTTCGACTGTTTTTAGGGGGCCTCTCTCTGCCTTTATTTCTTCCTGGCACAGTCACCGGCAGAATTTTTGACAGCGGCATTAATAGAACGCTAAGAAAATCGGTGCTTAAGCCGGCCGTCATAATGTTACACGCTGCCTCTTTTGCGAACGACGGACCTTTAACATGTCTGGGAAAACGGAGAATCAATGTTTCCAGAGTTTTGTGAATAGAAACGGCAGACATTGATTTGAGGATTAGAAGGAAAAACAGGCGGCGTCTTGTGTGAACAGAGGCTATTTTTACTGATGTTCAGTCTCTTTGTTTGTCTTTTGTGTGAGTTGAAGCACTGGCTCCTTTTCACTCTCTCATATGCACAGCTGATCATTTTGATGTCACCTTGAGAATCTAGAACTGGGCCTAAAACCACCACCAAGCACATCACCACCACCTCCTCTAGTGTTTTATTTGAGTAAGACACTTAGGACCGGTCACATGATTACTCAATTACAGAGGGAGGAAACCGGGTACAAAGACACAGCAAAACAACACTGACACACTCATTTCGTTTCTGTCTGAAAGCTTACAAGGGCCTGTGTAGGCTCAAACAACTTATTTTACCACTGTGCTGCCGTCCTCATCTCAGGGCTTTATTAAAGTTCTTTGGTAAGTGCCTCCTCCGCTTGTGTCCTCGCAACCTCTATAACTGTCCCTCTAGTGCCCTCCCAATAAGTCAAGCATGAAATGTAGGCAGGACGACAGAGGCCCGACTACAGCAGAGACAAATAGCACTGTATCCGTTGGCTTGTCGGCGAAGGAGACAAATGAATTCTCCTTTACATATTACAGGGGATTAAGGCACATCTGCACTGACAACGAATACAGCAATTAAATTCCACCAATACAATAAAAGATAGCCTTGTACGCCGCTACCTCACCGATTCCTATATTCTAATATTCCATAATGCGTTTCTTTATGCGCGGGCTGTCGTCCAATGAGCTGCCTTCGGTTATCACGACTGCCGATCTGACAGAGGTCTGACCTCCCTCCGCTGATTGAAGACTGTGCCATTTAAAACCAGAGTGAAGGGCACTGTAGAGGTAGGTCACAAGTCATTGTTATTAAAAGTCACCCGTACGTCAACCATAACCTTCGGTGGCAAGCAAATGTAATGAGCTTTCAGCTGAATCGCTAGCATCTTCCATTAACATCCATTCAGCTGTTTGCAAACAAAAGCTCTTTGTTTCTTTCAGCATCGGGGTGACCAGAAAACCTTCGAATAACTTAAAAACAAGTTAAGGACATCCAAGTGATTACCTCCAGCCTGTCTCCAAAAGAAAGAAAGTGAAGCAAAAATGGTTATACAAAGTTACAGTCATTTAATATTTCCATCTACCTCCTTTCCATTCAGGTCTATCATTAATCCAAATGTACCAGACATCATTCCTACTAGCAAGGTCAGTTCCTCCCCTTAAGTTTGAGCCTCGCAAACCTACAGACTGTGAGCGCGATGAGCAACTTATCCAGCCAATCTAGCTCCACAAACATTCCAGAAATGAAGTTGATAGTGTTTGACAAAGTTCCTCAACTGTGTCACGCGAGCGGAATCTTTGAGCGAAATGAGCCGCAAACCCAAAATATTACAACTAATCATGATTCGCCAATAGCAGACAATCACACTGCCACTCCAGATGGCTGTCCATTTGCCTAAAAGGCTCTAATTGTGCAGCCATTATAACAAGACTGAGACTGAAATTAAGATGCATAAAATTCATTAAAACTGACTCTCTAAACAAGCACAAAAGCATCTTACATTTCCATACAGAGGGCCCACGGGGTGCAGTCATGTGCTTTGTCCGGGCGGACAGGCGGGGATCCCAAACAATGTGTGAGAGTCAGCGCCAGTAACCAATGAGAGGAAGTGATGTATTGCACGCTGACTTGGAACAATGCGGTCTGTTTTACCTGAAGGCGAATGTTTCGAGCTCATCAATTTGCTTCAGTGGACGGAGGCACCCTGTGACACCCTCAATAGTGTTTGTTAGCAGCTATCTCTGAAGACACATGCTGCCTTTGAGCATTGACAAAAGCTAAGTAGAATGCCTCTTCAGTAGAAAGAAAAATCAGAGATCACATTATATTATTTCTGTCTCGTTCTCTGTGACGGGGAGTTTGACTGGTGGTTTGAAGCCCTGTCAGTCTGACTTTAGGATGTTTTGGACCACTGTGGCTACAAGGGTGTTCAAATGCACAGCAAAATATTCTCAACACCCTCCATCCACCTCCATCTCCTCCTTAAGCCACCTCCTCACTGTGGATGAACTTACAGCTGTTCTCTGTTTAGAAAACAGATGGAGCACAATTCCCTAACAATATCACAAATTTAACTGGGATATGATTAATTGCAGGTCTAGTTCGCCGTGTATTTTTAACTCGCTGAGCCTCGAAACAAGTCGACCCACGGCAGCGCGTCTCCCTGCCTTTCCTCGGCATTCATTATTCCAGCCTACCAGGGAGTATTATGTCTTGTAACGGCTGACTCGGAGTTGACACTGCGAGGCTTAGGGAGCCTTAGAAACTCTGCTTGAGGCACACTCCTGGTGCAGAGACTGAGGTCTGTCTGACATGTGTGACTCCTGAGGCAAGCATGTTGCTAAATGAACAGAGACGGGGAAGGATGGCATGACCCACTTCCATAAGGGCTACACCGTTTTCTTTACGGAAAATCCCACAGGTACTGTTCTGCACTGCTCGTGGAAAAAAATATGTGGCAGACAAAAGCTTAAACATTCCTATCAGCAGAGAACTGGTGAGGACAAGGAGGGGAGGATGTGAAATGATTTGAATGCTGATCCAGGAGTCAGGTTGATCTAAAAGATTTCAGCCATCTCTTCTCTACATGAGGCATTTTTTTTGACAGGCTATATATACATCACACTTGGAACACCTAATTGACCTTCTTGTGATGTCATCTGAATCAATAATGGCACAGCAACTAACACAGGAGGCTCTTTATCTCCTCTAAATGATAACATCTGGGTCTGTCTATAGCCCACGTGAAAGGAAATCTTACCCTTTTTTCCCAGTTTCTTAAAGACAGAAAAGTGACATCCTCTATGTATAAATCGACGAGGGCTATACCTTGACCCTCTGCCTTATGTTATCCTATGGAGGAATCACAGAGGAGCGAGGCAAGCAGCTGAAGATGATCACTGCGAGGGCAGAAATACTGGAGCAGTGCACATTTTTACCTTAATTGTGCGCGCTTAATGCGCGGACAGATTTGGCCCGTCATCAAAGAGAAATTACGCACGGATTAAAAAACATTTCATCATCTGTTTGGATCGACTCAAACAAGTGTCCTTTGTACACAAGTAAACCAATTAACTAACGAGTCGTGCAAACACTGCAAGCGGTTGTTCTGTGCTGCCAAAGCGTGCTGACAGGCTGCTCGCATTCCGCAAACAATACAGAATCACCGTAGACGCGCATTACATTTTGTTCCACGATTCATGTGGGATTCCCCCCATTTGGAATAACCTTTAAATACGACATATAAAGACTCCCAATCGCTCTTGGTGGTTCTGTGGTACTCCCACGCTAAGGAGCTGGTCGTGTAAAAAAAAAAAAAAAATGTTATGACAGCCATAATGACAGCCTGTCACTTTTCCACTCACCTTTCGCATGCTGTGGGACAGCGGCGCTTAGACACAGCGCGATGGAAAGGAGCAGCGGTCCCATCCTCTCACAATAATCAGGTCTGACTTCCAAGGTTATGGAGATGTGGTTAAAAAAATAAATAAAAAAAAATCACTCGGCAATAGCCAAAAGTTCTCCGGGCTTCGCTCTCGCTGGGCTGCAGGAAAGAATCGCCCTGGGAGCTGTTGCTGTGTCCTGTCAGGTAAAGTCCTCCTCTGCGATGAAGTGGGCAGAGAGACACACACTCGCCACCTGGATGATTTTTTTTGGTGTCGTGCAGGAAACAAGTGAAGTGAGCCTGCCGGGTACTCCTCTGCTGCTGCGTTCCCGCTGCTACCGCAGTGGTGCGATGTAGTGGAGAGAGCGACGTGTGCGCTCAATGCGCCCGGACAACTGCTGTCAAGCTCCCCACAGTCACAACACTCATCACTTCCGATGCGCGTTTACAAAAATAAAAAAATACCCTCGAGGCTCACTTTTCATTTAAAATATGCTCTATTTGATGTCTAGCGGTAGAAGCAAAGCTGCATATGTGTACTGCTACGTTTTATTTTCCAATATTGTTTCACACTGTATGGACTGAAGCGCTGTTATAAGGTTTGGAGGCTGATGCAAAACGGTGCTTTTTATAAAACAGTATTTATTAATCTAAATGGCAGTCAGTAATTGTGTCATTTTTTTTGTCAGAGAAAGACAAAAAAACAAAAAACAACGCCAAGTGTTTGCTTTGAAGGAACAGTCACCACCTTCCGGTTACGCAGCGCAACTTTACGCAGCCTGCGGGGCAGTCCGTTTGGCTGGTCGGAGGATGTGCGCTTCACGGTCGGTCACAGCAAACCGACTGGGGCGCTGTCTCGTTGGTGGAGACAACTCTTCCTGCTCCCTCCTCCTCCCTCCCTCCCTCCTTTCCTCCTCCTCCTCCTCCTCCCTCTTCCTCAGCAGCACTTTCAAAACGCCTGCCGGGTTGGGACTTTAAATTGTGTATAATCAGTCTCTTCAGCATTTCCCCAACCTCTTCTTTCACTCCCACTGGCTCCGTTTTCAAGCCTCAGGAAGTTGGATGCTCATTGATGAGTTTAGCTGTTTCGAGTAGCTCTTCTCTGGAAAGCCTCGTTGGGTTTTAAAGTGCAGATCTGGCACAAGCATCCCCACCTGACGGATTAAATTAGAAGATCATGTGTTGTCAATGGGAAACTGACACAGTTTAATGTGTTGCTTAGCAATAAACAATAATCATACATGTATTTCTTTGAGTTGTTGCCTTTTTCTGAGCAACCTATGTACAGACTAGCTGATTCTAACAATGACTAGTCTTTGTGTTTTTATTGTGATTTCTTTTTCTAGGATGAGGCCAGAGTGGTTTCATGTAACGGAAACACAGTGGAATAGCTCACAGGTATGTTGACAGGTTACCACAGGGGGAGCGTGTACGTATTTTTTTTTGTTATAGCCCCATGAATGACAATGTTTTCCAGTTAAAAAGGCATTTCATCCAAAAAGCTAAAACATGCTCTGATCATCTTAAAGGGACATCAACCTTAATGTCCAACTTAAGATTTCATTTACGTTCAGTGGCTCAGACATGGGGCCAGAACGCTCAGGGAACAGTTTGGCATCCAAAATGGAATTTGGTATTAAAAGCATAAACTGTAATTGAAATATTTGTATTAAAACCAATTGTTTTGGTGTTGAAGAAACAACTAGGTGGTGAAAAACTTCCACTGAGAAATAAAATACTGATATTACAAATTATTGCATTTCCTTTCAACCCCTTTTTTTAGTATTTTAAAGTGATTTTCAGCGTCAGTTTTAAGATTCTCCTCCATGTCTGTGTTTTCCCCATTTATTATACTTTGTAAACCCTCAACAATCATGTTCGATAGTGAAAACAAGACAGAAGAGATTTTTCCCTGTGCTCAAAATGTTAAAATGTTGGTTTAAAAAAAAAAATCTCTGCTTGCAAGGACATGCAATCAATTTATAATCAATCTGTAGCATTTAGTGTCCACCAATAATTGATTGTTGCATTGTTTATCTGGGACAGGAGACGTCTTGTTGAATTTTTAAAAAATAACTAAATTATTTGTCAGTGAAAAACTTCAGCTGAGAAATAAAATATTGATATTACAAATTATTGCATTTCATTTCAACTCTTTTTTTTGTATTTTAAAATGCTTTTCAGTGTCATTTGTCAAATTTCTCCCTCGTGTTTGTGTTTTACAGGTTTTTTTGTGTGTCACTGTTTTGGTGTGGAGGGGAGGGGTTTAAGGAGGAGGGGCAATCCGTGTGTGATTTACATCTCATTTGCATACCAATGACCTAGTGTCCTCCTTCTGAACCTGCTGTCTGGAGACTGCAATGAGTGACATGAGCTTTATTTCGCAAACTACAATATTATGCACCACTGTGCTATTCTGCTTTCCATTGTGGAAAGATGTCTGCCTCCACAGAAACTGCCACCCAGGCAACTTCACCAGCTGCTGCTACAGAGTCGGAGTGTGAGAATATGAGCCATGCAACAGTATTGTAACCACAAACGATGCATAATTTTATCATTAAATTACAATTACGCGATTGTCAATGCTATTAATTGGATGAAACACAATAACTATGAGGCTTATAGTAATACAGGGTCTCAGACTGCATATGCAACCACTTTTAAGTTAGAATTTCACATTGTACGAGTGCATAATGACCATTACATCGATCTGGATCCCCCTCCAGCCTGTGATAGCTATTGTAGCTGGAGATAGTACATTTTCTTTTTCACTGATTCAGGCGTCAGATGTGTGAAACAATCCATTTCGCTGTTCCTGTGTTCAAATGATGGAACAATCAATAGCTGATTATTTTAAAAATCAAAATGAGGAAATAGAGGAAGCTGGCGGAGTTGGAGAGCTCTCAGCTCAGATACTTCTTGTGACGAAGAGTGCAGGTGCAGGCAGAGAGGTTTCTTTGGTGAAGAAGGAAAAGCGGCCCACTACATTCATTTCCGATGGCTAACACAGTTCGAGGGCTGCTAAATGAAATGAATATTAACAGAAATCACAATCTTGGCTCCCCTCAATTAAATGAACCTGATCAACTGCGTTTAAAATGCGCATAATTGTGTAGTTTGTGAAATGAAGCACATGTCAGTCATGTCAGGCTCTGATGGCAGGTTTGGAAGGAGCACTAGGTCCTTAGCATGTAAATTACATGTAAATCATTCACTCCTTACCCCTCCTCTACACAGCCAGTGACATGAAGTTGAAGTCGGTGTAAAATATAAGAAATAAAAATCACTGTAAAAAAAAGAGAGAGAGAGAGAGACAGATGAAGAAAAAAAATCTGAATAGTGTCATTAAAAAGCACATCAAATCACTACTAGTACTACTACTAATAATAATAAGAATAATAAGAACAAGAATAATAGAAAAATAAATACTAATCATTTCTAAGATCTGTGTTTTATTTCTCAGTGAAACTTTTTTCAGTGCCAAATATTTTTTCAATGCCAAAACAACTTGTACAAATATTTCAATTCAATTATTTCCCTTTTTCACTTCAGGTTTTCTTATCAATGCCAAATGTTTGTTTTCATTGCAAAACTGCAACACTGTCAATATTGGCTCCATTTTCAAACACCAGTGGACCATCCATTCATCCATCCGTCCATCCATTATCTATGCATCGCTTAATCCTCATTAGGGTCACTGGGGGGCTGGAGTCTATCCCAGCCGACTTAGGGTGAAGACAGGGGACACCCTGGACAGGTCACCAGTCTATCACAGGGCTACACTTAGAGACAGACAACCAAGCACACTCACATTCACACCTACGGACAATTTAGAATCACCAATTAACCTCAACATGTTTTTGGACCTTGTGGGAGGAAGCCGGAGAACCCGGAGAGAACCCACGCTGCACGGGGAGAACATGGAGACTCCACGCAGAAAGATCCCGGATGTCCTCAACGGGACGTGAACTGGTGACCTTCTAGCTGCGTGGCGGCGGTGCTAACCACCTTTTTAGCAATCTGATTAGATTTGATGTATCACGGTTGTGTTAAAATAATCACCTTTGCACTTTTGCATATTCAAACTTTATGTATCCATGTTATGCCCCGGCCTAGGGGAACCTGGGGCATAGCATGGATGTTGCTCCACACTAGTCTCTCCACCTCGAAGAAGGCCAGCCACAACAACAGGTCAGGTAACAAAAAGATGAGCAGTTTCTTTATTTTTGTCAATCAAGGAGGGGAAGACAGACCAAAACAACAAACAAAACTTATTCTATCAGAACCCTGACTATCAAAAGAAAAAGCAAATAAAAGACAACAACCTTACCTATCTAATAACAAAGAAACAGGAGAAAACAGGTACAAAATAAAAGGGCCTCTCCCTCCTACTCTGCTCTCCAACTAAGAGTTTACAAAGGGTCCCTATAGGGATCTGTTCTTCAAACAATTCTACTGCGTCTCTCGAGGTGCAGTGGCACAGGTCTGCTGGCTTCTTCGAGGTGGGTGAGGCTGGAGGTGAGGAGACAGGATCACAGCTGGCGGGCTGCTCAAATACCGGGTTGGCCCGCCCTCCGACCAATGGTGTGGCTGGGAATCGGCGCAGCAGCAGGTGATCCAGCCAACCCGGGGACACCACCTGCTCCCAATTCACTCGTTCCACCACACACACACTGGGGACAGACAAGCAGCAAAAAACACAAGACACAGATGACCCGCACAGGGTCATAACATCCAATGAAACTTTTTCTTGTCTTTTTTTTAAAAACATATTTTCCCATTTATTATACTTTATAAACCCGTAAAGTTGATGGTGAAAACAAGACAGAAGAGGTTTTCTCCTGTGCTCAAGATGTTAAAATGTTGGTTAAAAAAAAACTTTCTCCACTTGCAAGGACATGCAATCAATTTCTAATCAATCTGTAACATCTACTGTCCACCAATAACTGACTGTTTGGAGGAATGTATTGTTTTTCTGGGACACGAGGCGTCTTGTTGAATTTGTGAACACTTATCTCGACACTTTTAGTAAGAATTTTCCACAGCTGAAAAAAAAAAAAAAAAGAAAGGGGGCAAGACTCAGACTTTAAGCTGATGTCATCATCCAACATCCCATAATTATCAGTCTGACCTTGAGGTGTTTCCGAGCTCCTCGTCATGAATCATGGAAGATATCAAGTGTCTTATGGTTTAATGTAGATAGAGACCTATAACTGTATGCACTTGGTCAAGACTAATAAATCACCGGCAGCGGCCACAGTAAAGTCTGCTATCATGTTAATGAGACGCTGCCCTCTGTTCCTACCATCACAGCACCTCCCATTGTTCCAGCTGCTCACATCCTGTCTACGCAGGACA